CTAACATGATCTCTCTAGACTAGAGGTCGGCAACGCGGCGTCCCCGATCGATTTTTAATGCGCCCTCGCTGGACTAATGTAAATGCATGACGGCCAGAGCGAGAAAACTTCTTCAGCTGTTAGAATGGGGTAAACTTAATTGAAGTTCAATTTAAAAAATCGAATTGTTGATGCTAATACCAAATAAGCCGCAGCTTTCATTACAAAGATAAATGTATGTTGATTATTAAGTGATATGTCGCTTAATACGAATACCCTTTCACCCTTCGATATGTGAGTTGTCTATTATCAAAGGTGGCAATCTGTGCATTTGGACAAAAAAATGTTATTGATATGGCAATACAGATTGATTTGAATATAATCGTCTCCTTCAAAGAATACGGTTCAAAACCTGCATTAAATAAAGTATTAACTTAACCTGTTATTTATCTAAGATGTCGTTCAGAAGAGTTTTGTGACTGCCAATGAAATACAAAGTCAATAATTCGTTTTTCTGATTTACCAATAATTGTTCAAAAGTCACATTGCCGGCTTTGATAATAGTCGACTCATGTACCCTCGAAAACTTAAACATATTTGTGCTTTAAAATAATTCAGTTACTACCTGTTCATAGATTTAAGAAAACTGTCAAGGAACGTTTGTGCAACAAGGCATATTATAAAGTTAAGGATTATCTACTATGTAGATGGCACTACGCGGGAATGAGGAGTTCGCTCCTGGCCTTTTCATTTTTCATTATTATTATTATTATTTTGTAATTGTATTTTTGACTTGTTTTTTCGTTTATTGCAAATATTGTTACTTATTTTAAAAAAAACAAATATTTGAGATTTTTCTTAATTTTTTTTTTACAAATTTAAAATAAAAAAATATGCCTATTGAGAAACAACAAAAAAAAAGCCGGCTGAGTTTGTTTCGCCGGTTCTTCTCAGGACTGTGGCTTTTTTTGGAACCGGTGGTAGAGTTAACATTGTTATTTATATTTTGACATTCAACAAGTGTGTTATACTGACAACTAAGTTGAAATAAATGATTTTGAATTTGAATTTGAATTCATTGTAATAAAGAAAAAATCCAATTATAGTTATATAGGTACATATCGTCGCTTGAAAGGCAAACGTGACAATCGACAATGCGTGAACTTTACAGTAGACTAATTTAAAGTTGAAATACCTGAAAAAAATTCTATTTTAACGAATCTAGCTGTAGGATTGAAATTATTTTAATAGACCTAGAAATCTATTTTTTTTGTGCATCGAATATGGTTATTGCCTATCATTTATGTACAAAGCAGTTATTGACGCTTAGTAACGTTTGCCTTTCAAGCGTCGATATGTCTAAGAATGAACACAATAATATTGCAAGTCAGTTTATACTTACTTGCACCTACCCGTGCGGACTCACAAGAGGTCCTACCGCTAGTAATTACGCAAATTATAATGTCAACGTACTTGACAAATGTTCACGATTGACTTCCACGGTGAAGGAATAGCATCGTGTAATAAAAATCATCACATGTAATAAAAATCAAACCCGCAAAATTATAATTTGCGTAATTACTAGCGGTAGGACCTCTTGTGAGTCCGCACGGGTAGGTGCAAGTAAGTATAAACTGACTACCCGCCTGCGGGATTCGAACACCGTTGCATCGCTACACACGAATGCACCGGACGTCATATCCTCTAGGCTACAACGACTTCACTTTCACTATATCGTCAAATATCAATTCAATATAGGCAGTGTTAATAACGCCTGATCGCCAATATGTCAGCGCTTGGGAGCACTGCGTATATGCGAACTCTCCTTCAGTCAATAACAAGCCAATGTTATCAGGCGATGCCTATGCTACTAAATTAAAAATAAAAATTGTAAATAAAAAATATTTTAATCAGCAACAACAAAGATTAACATTTAATATAAAATATGACACGCGACAGTTGGGGAGCCCAAGAAGCTAAATAGGTATTGACTTATCCGAACTCCGCGGAGACCTTTTGGATTGTGAAGATTAGATGCTAATTTTTCAAAAATGTACAAAAAAGCGTGTGGCACTCGGGAACTGCCGCGGTAAAGCTATTGCATAGCATTTTTTATCAACTTTTACAATTATAATTAGACAATGATAATTTAATATTGATGATGATTCATCCGACCGATTTCGGCCATGGCGACCACTTTAACTCCTATCCGTCGATTTGGCGCTCGTGCGCTCGAAGATGGCTTATATAGCCTATCTTCGTGGCCAAACTCCTTGCGCATTGAGGGCACGTAAGCACGCCGTTCTCATAATTATAGGTTATGGCAGCAGGTGGGCGGGCCTTCAACTGGTCGCGTTTGTAATCAAGGTCAGCTTTACGCTGATCCTCGAACTCGCGTACTTTGCTGTTCACCATCCTGTGCCATTCTGGCCGCTGTGCTGCCAAGCGCTCCCATGAGAGGGCTCTATATCACATCTCTTCATGTGTCGTTTCACGACATCCTTGAACCGCAGGAATTGTCCGCCATGCTTTCGCTTGCCATCCTGCAATTCAGAGAAGAAGATGCGCTTCGCCACTCTTTCCTCCGTCATGCGTGATACATGACCGCACCATCGAAGCTGCCGACGCATTAAATAGGTCTCAATGCCACCAACATTGGCACGTCGCAAGACTTCGGTATTTCGCACTCTATCAGACCATCTGATTTTCATAATGGCACGAAGGCATTTAAGGTGGAAGCGATCCAGAGTGCGAATGTGGCGGCGGTACACACACCACGACTCGGAGGAGTATAGGAGGCTTGGCAGCACAATTGCCATGAAAACTGAAATTTAATATTAAAACAATAATAAAACAAGACCACGCTATATGAAACATTAATAAAAGCAAAACCTTAACTGTCCCCTTCACACTCATTAGCTAGACCGCGCGAGAGAGAGATGGGCAGACTTTTCATGATGCGCATGCAGTGTGACGTCACGCCGCGCGCTTATTCACAAACACTACACAAGCGCAACGCGTGAATGTGTTGAACGCGAGCTACATGGTGGGCGGAATCAGGGGTGTTAGGTTTTTTTCGTTACGGAATTTCATGATTCGGTCGCCGCGCTCAAGGCCCGCGATAAAATCTATGCAATAGCTTAAAAATAATATTGGTTGTCTGTTAGGTCGATTTACGGACGATAGTTTTACGTGATAACGCCAGTAGCGGAAATATTAGAACTGCTAGTTATGACGTCACGCGAGAAGAGAGATGAATGTGTCACAAGCCAACGCTTGGGCCGATCGTGCCTCTCTATCGCTTGTTTCGCGCTCTCACTTGCACGCTCAGACTGGGGCGGAACGTGACACTTTTTCGAGCGGGCAGCCGGTGTTCACCGATTTACAAGACGTTATCAGACTTTTTGGCGGGAACGCGAGGAGTGAAGTTGTGTGATTTGTTTTATTTTGTCTATTTAGTGTTTCTTCAGGTTTAAATGTGTAATAATGGTGGTTTATTAACTGTTTAATATGGGAAATGTGGGAAAATAAAACAAAGCCGCTGGACGTAACTTCTCGGGATCCTCATTATTCTCATCATTCTCCCAGATTATATTTCATCCCAGTCATCTCATCTCATCTCATTTAATTTCATCCCAGCCGATTAATGTCTCAAATTAATCATCTTCATTTCATTTCACTCCATAATATAATTTTTCATATAAATATGAATATAAATTAAACTGAGACATGACTTAAAGGTCTTAGCTATCAGGTCATAAAATCCCTTAAAAAAAACAAGACGTTATCACGTCAAAAAATCACACAGAAATAGTCGAGCGCTTCAGATATTAATAGCGTATGCGCCACATTTGTTTTTGATAACCGATAAATATAAATCAGCGGGTTTTGCATGGCAGCAGTGGCCATACCGAGAGAAAATGAAAAAAAAACATTTCATTCCAGCACGTCAGTTTTTTTTTATATTGCTTAGATGGGTGGACAAGCTCACGGCCCACCTGGTATTAAGTGGTTACTGGAGCCCATAGACAATCTGCAACGTAAATGCGCCACCCACCTTGAGATATAAGTTCGAAGGTCTCAGTATAGTTACAACGGCTGCCCCACCCTTCAAACCGAAACGCATTACTGCTTCACGGCAAAAATAGGCAGGGTGGTGGTACCTACCCGTGCGGACTCACAAGAAGACCTACCACCAGTAAAAAGTTCAGTTATTCAGAACGTATGTTAAGTATACCCTGAAGTGGGTGATGGACCTATAACTGATAACTGACTAATGATATTAAATACTCCAGATAATGATCCATGATGACCTGAAGCTTGACTCAGTAAGTATTTACAGTTGGCATCAGTGCGCCACTTTGAGAAGGCGGCACGACACGAGAACCCTCTTGTCGTAGCCGCCGGTAATTACATACGCGATCCTGTGGACCGAATGGTAAACAGTCGACGTCGCCCAAAACACGTTATTACGGATCCTCCCGATCCACTAACGGTGCTTCTAGGTACTTCAAGCACCGGTCACCGTTCTCGTCGAAACCGTCGCTTGCGACGAAGGGCTCGGCGAGTAAATTAATCCATAGACAGCCATTATTTATTCGTAGACACAGCCCACTGAGTTTCTCGCCGGATCTTCTCAGTGGGTCGCGTTTCCGATCCGATGGTAGATTCTGCGAAGCACTGCTCTTGCTAGGGCCAGTGTTAGCAACGTCGTCAGGTTTGAGCCCCGTAAACTCACCTACTAGCTAAGACTGAAATGATCTCTCAAGACCATCAGCTTAGGTAGAAAAAAAGGTGTGTGTGGGGCGTCCTGTGAGCCCGCACGAGTAGGTACCACCACTCTGTTTACTTCTGCTACGAAGCGATCACGCGTTTTGGTTTGTGTAATGGGGCTACCATTGATACTCAATTAACTAGATCAGGGCTGTCCAAACTATAGGTTTGAGCCCCGTGAGCTCACCTACTAGCCCGGCGACACTGACATGATTTCTTTAGACCATCAGCTTAGGTAGAAAAAAAAAGTATTTTTTTTTGTCAAAAATATATTTTCTCAATCATCATCATCATTATTATTATCAACATAACAAGTGGAATCGTCTTCATAACAATATACCGTTTCTATTTGTATGTTTTCATCGCAATCTCGCGTCTCTGCAACAAGAAATGACTAACCATTATTAAATATATATATATATATGTAACAAACATTATTTCACAATATCACAAGAAAAAGCCCACCTGAATCCTGGTATTCCTCTAAATCATCAGGCGTTACGACATCATCATAATCATAATAATCACAGTCTTCATCCACTTCTGATTGGCGTCTACCAACGAACCGAGTCACCTTCGGCTTATCACCATCGTCATTCGTCCAACAGGAATCTGCTGGTGAAGGGAAGCCATCACGCGACTGTGGTGAGCATACCACCACCAGTATGGTGTGATGTGATGTGATTGTGTGATATGATGTGATTGTGATGATGTGATGTGATTGTGATGATGTGATGTGATTGTGATGATGTGATGTGATTGTGATGTGACACCAGATGTGGGAGCATTATCGAAATTAAATGTATCATTAAATTATATTATTATTTATTATTTTGCCTTTTTATCTTTTATTTATCTACTTGTAATACTCATAATATGTGTGAAAGGAAATAAATGATTTTATTATTGTTATCTGTACTAATATCATAAAGAGGAACGATTTGAAAAATTTTTTAATTGTTTGGAAGCTACATTATTCCCGAGTGACATAGGCTATATCCTTATTAAAACTCCAATAATGTAACCCAAGTTGTAAAAAAAATACCTAAAATATTCTTTACATCGCGTGCCCTGCGAAAACTATCGATGATAGAATAAAATAATGTACTACGACTTTGTAGAACACATTATTATTTACAAAAAGTGTCGCGACAGCATATGTCTAACTATTATAGTTATGCTGCAATAACTGTTCTTTTATTTAAAAAAATAAAACAACATCAAATATCGTTGAAAATTTTGTTAAAGACCCGAGCGGAGCCGGAGCGGGCCGCTTGTTATGAAGGAAAATTAACATCAAAAGGTAATTTTATTAAAGTATGTTATTATTTTATTGCGGTATTTTGGTCATGTTGCACGTAGGGATACCAGCAATTTGGAACGCCTTGTGGTGACCGGTAAAATAGAGGGAAAAAGGCTTAGGGGTAGAGGTCCCAAACGATGGTCGGACCAAATAGCGGAGGAACTGGGGATACCTGTCAGCGACGCACTCCACCGGGCTGCAGGGCGGGATCGATGGAGACAGTTGGTTGACGAAATCGGACGGAGTCACGATCCTCAGCAGTGAGGGACCGACCGAAGAGAGAGAGAGAGATGCAGGTAATATCGCATTTTTAGAATTGAAGCAGCTTATTAAAAAGATTAAAAAAAAATAGTTTTATACTTTGAACATGTATTATTTTATCAGTTTATAAAATTTAATGGTCTCTTTTAGTCTAGAAAAGGATAAAGTTACTCTCTCCGTCTCTTTTAAACCAAGCGCATGCATACCTTAAAGTATTACATGGAAACAAAAATAAAACATTTCTTAAATTATATTTATAATTACTATTCGCCTGCCCTAAACTCACGACCCTATTGAAAGGTCCATGTATGGTGGAGGCACTTGATAGGGTACAAGGTTTCCCCCCAAATCCCAGAATCCCCCCATTGGGCTCCCCTACTACAATCAGTCCTAGCGTAGATTAAACTTTATCATATAAAATTAAAAATCCAATTTGTATTTAGAAAAATATAAAAATTAAAGCCACCAATTTAAATATCTTAGTTCCTTATTTTGACTCTCACTAAAATAAAAATACGTTGGCACGTCAACAGACCTTGTCATTGTCGATGTTAATAAAAACAATCACAACGGTCGTATTAAAATTTGACATTTGATATACTAGGTAATATCAGGTAGTACGATAACAGGTACATGGTATCACGTCTCGTGACTAGATACGACGGTCTCTCTGTACACAGCTTGATTAGGACGAAGCATCTTCTCTGCCTCTACGAGCTCTGCTTGCGCCTTAGACCTCTCTGTAAAGTTGTTAGAATGTATTGAAACAATAATCCTACATCACTCCGTGCACCTGTATATCATCAGACGGCCTGTTAGCTCGTCTGTCTATCTGGTGCACTACAATATCGAATACAGTTTTGTTATTGACGAAGTTAGCGAACCGCGCAATCTAATGCAACCAAAACAACCGGGTCAATGACCGCAGCGAATTATGAAATACCCTCAAATACGTTTAATACAAGACAAGTTCAGTAGAGTATTGACAGATGAAATAATTCAACTTTTCACATAAAAATATATTAGCTTATTACCACTAGTGCGCTTTGGAAACGATTGCAATGGTGTTGTGTGAATCAATATATACATATACCTTTAGATCCATGGTCCCTTCATCCAGACTACCTATAATTTTTTATTTCTTAGATGGGTGGACGAGCTCACAACCCATCTGATGTTAGATAGTTACTGGAGCCCATAGACATCTACAACGGCTGCCCCATCCTTCAAACCGAAACGCATTACTGCTTCACGGCAGAAATAAGCGGGGTGGTGGTACCTACCCGCGCGGACTCACAAGAGGTCCCACCACCATATATAACCGCTGCGTCTATCCACAGTGCTATTCCAGAGACCTTTTCCTCCACGCACCATCCGACACTGGAATGGACTCTCCTCCTCCTGAGCACTAAGTCACGTGCTTCTTCAAACACGGCTTGCAGATCAGCGGTTGACAGAGGCCCGGCTCTGCCAGTGTCATTGACGACGTCCAACATAGCGACCGATAACCCATCACCACCAGGCCGACCCCACCTCTACCTGTGGAGGTATCAAAATCTCACCAGCCCGATCGAATTCCAGGAACATTGCGGCGTGCAGGGCGGCCGCGATCACCGCCAATACGCTGAACACTCGGAACGAATATCGACCGCCCATAGAACCGTACAGTTGTCCGCCTAGCAGCGATCCCAGGGCGAAACCTGCAGAGATACCGCCTTGCTGGGTTTTTTTTCCTACCTATGCTGATAGCCTTGAGAGGCTATTTCAGCGTAACCTTAACTAGTAGGTGAGCTCACGGGGCTCTAACCTGACGACGTTGCTAATACGAACCCTAGCAAGAGCAGTGCTTCGCAGAATCTACCACCGGATCAGAAACGCGACCCACTGAGAAGATCCGGCGAGAAACTCAGTGGGCTGTGTCTATGGGGTCGCCTTGCTGATCCGGTGGCCATCGACCGCCGAACCCCGAAGCGACCCGAAATTGGACAATTATTGACACTTCGACTCGTGAGGGACGGTGTGCCGCCCTAAACAGACCGGCTCAGTTGAATCTCCCCCACGAGAAAGCCCAAAAGCTTATGGTATAGCGTATGGTAAAGCCATGCAATCGTCCGGTTCGAAGTGTGAGGGGAAACTTAGAGCTCATGTTTCAAGGTGGGCACCGGTAGCCGCTTAACACCTGAATCTGAAGTCGTCGTGGCCCAAAGGATAAGACGTCCGGTGCATTCGTATGTAGCGATGCACCGGTGTTCGAATCCCGCTGGCGGGTACCAATTTTTCTAATGAAATACGTACTTAACAAATGTTCACGATTGACTTCCACGGTGAAGGAATAACATCGTGTAATAAAAATCAAACCCGCAAAATTATAATTTGCGTAATTACTAGTGGCAGGACCTCTTGTGAGTCCGCGCGGGTAGGTACCCACGCTCTGTCTATTTCTGCCGTGAAGCAGTAATGTGTTTCGGCTTGAAGGCTGGGGCAGACGTTGTAACTATACTGAGACCTTAGAACTTATATCTCTAGGTGGGTGGCGCATTTACAATTTAGATGTCTATGGGCTCCACCCATATAAGCAATACAAAAAGAAGAAAAAAACACCAGACGGGCGAGTCATCCACTCGTCTAAGCAAAATCATTACGTGCGTGCAATCGCGTGTTGTGTTTCGTGTTTAGCTTGATATGAGAAAATGTTTATTTGGTGTTTTTAATACGCTTTTATTAGCTTCATACGTATGTTAGTATGTAACGGAATCTTTGAACATGATTTTGACCCCCTTCAAAACGTCGAATTAACTCGAAATTTGGTATACTTATTAAGGACCGATGACAATTCAATATTATAAAAAAAAATTGAAAAAATTGAAAATAATAGTTTAAAAAAACAAAAAAAATACGCTTTTATAGAAAATCCAACTAAAAAATAGAAAATAAATTTTAATAAATTTCAATTAAAAAGATAGTAAGAAAAAATGATTATCAGTAGTTATAAATATTTTATGAACAGATACAGACAGCCCCCCACGCTTTTTTTTTCAACAAAAATATTTTTTTTTATTGCTTAGATGTGTGGACGAGCTCACAGCCCTGGTGTTAAGTGGTTACTGGAGCCCATAGAAATCTACAACGTAAATGTGCCACACACCTTGAGATATAGTTCTAAGGTCTCAGTATAGTGACAACGGTTGTCCCACCCTTTTTCTTACACTATTTATAATTCAAATTTATTAAAATTTATTTTCTATTTTTTAGTTGGAATTTCTATAAAAGCGTATTTTGTTAGTTTTTTTAAATTTTTTTTTTTTTCCAAATACCGTCTGGTTTGGTATTTCGAATACGCACCCACGCCGTCGTCCATGCCGGCCACTATGCCCTGGACAGTCGCCGAGTAACCGTCCGGGGCCACATGAGCCGCGTACCCGACTATAGTAGCGTAGCAAAGGGCATATGTCGGGCCTTGCATAATCCCCTAAAGAATCAAAGAGAAGCATTTGTGAATAACAAAATTTTATCCTCTATTTTTGAAGTGAAACTTCTTTACAATCGTTGAGATTTCAAACTCGATGTAACGAAAAAATAAGTCCATAGAGACGCAAACACTTAAATGTATAGGATTCGGCCGGCGAGAGAATGAGATAGAACACATTAGAGGTTCTCAGTGTACTGTTTTTTTGAATACAGCGCCATCTATGAGATTTTTTAATACTAACGTGTGTATGAATGAAACCTCTTGTAGTGAATTTTAATTTAGGATTATACGTGAAGTTAAAATATCAATTCACAGAGGGCGCCACCTCATACTATAAAAAATGATTTACAATTATTTACTAATGACAAAATTTTACATATACTTAAGACGTTTAAGATAATTGTATTTTAATTTTGGAAGGGTTCACTTCTACCACGTGTGAATTGCACACATGTCTTTTTTCTTGATAAACATATTTCAATGCTTCTCGAGATATTAACTATAGTTAAGGGTTTCATTAGAGAATAGAGGGTGTTCGATAAAAACCCTGAATCGCGCTATAAGCATTTCCAAGGTTGGCTACCATTTTGGAGGGTAGATATAAGGAGCACACTCCCTATGTGTGAAAAAGTCCGATTATATCCGATATATCTGGCTCTGGAATCTTCAGAACTTCTGGATCTATTGAGAGACTTCATCAAGACTAACTAGAACCGTTGCGTTCATCCGCACTGCTTATCCAGAGATCTTTTCACCTTAATTTTTAATACCATCTGGCTTTGAACTACCCTCCAAGTAGTTTCCAAAGCGCCACGACACGTGACGAGGTTTATGTGTACTCAGTGGCGGACAGCGGCTTTGATAATGTCCATGAGCGACAGTTACCACTAAGCGGGCCGTACTATGTACATATGTCACTATAAAATCTTGATACAATTTAAACAGGACCAAGTCAGAAGCACCAGCCTACAAATAAACAAGATCCAACAAAGAATCATTAAAATCTTTTTTCCCAGAAAATAATTCTGAGTCAGCAAATTCCCCCCTTTTTTTATTAAAGTCAGTTAAAAAAGTAATATTAAGTTGCGGGTACATTATAATTTTTGTTTGCCTCAAACTCATACCCGAAAGCAAGCATTTAAAACCAGACCACTATTCTTTTACATATCTAATTGTTAATTGTTGCTGTGAGACAAAATCCAATTACCAATTCAATACACAAATATATATCTATCTTATCTTAATATATATAAATCTCGTGTCACAATGTTTGTCCTCAATGGACTCCTAAACCACTTAACCGATTATAATAAAATTCGCACACCATGTGCAGTTCGATCCAACTTGAGAGATAGGATGGTTTTTATTTCGATGAATGGTCGCAATATTTATTAATTAACAATAAAATGATTTCTTATGTTGATTTTTGTTATTAATTGTANTTCTTCTTTGGATTAGATTTTCTTCTTCGAGTGGATTTGATGAACTGTTAGCACTTGAAGTTTTGTTCACTTTTCACCGGGCACGGCACAGTTTATAAAGTTTCAGTTTTTATGTTTTTGGGATGCGCGAACTGGCGATTTTCGGATCCCACCGCTGCCACCAATTTGTTATGGGAATTCTCTCTGAGGTCGTTTTAAAAAAAGGAAAATTCTTAGGACACAACTATTTATTGGATATTGAATAATATGGATAATGACACTCAGAGTGATCCCGGCAGCCGCACCCGTACTCTAACACAGTTCACTCACTACTGACCGTTCTCCGGTCTCCTATCAAGTCTCTACCTCGGACCGTCTAGTCAGCGGTTCGAGGGTGTCAGCAGTTTAGGGTTCGGTAGGGATATATAACAGTACCATCTGACTTTGAACTACCCTCCAAGTAGTTTCCAAAGCGCCACGACACGTGACGAGGTTTGTGTGTGACTCAGTGGCGGACAGCGGCTTTGATGATGTCCATGGGCGACAGTTACCACTAAACGGGTCGTACTATGTACATATGTCACTGTGAAATTTTGATACAATTTAAACAGGACCAAAGTCAGAAGCACCAGCCTTCCACTAAACATGATTCAACAAAAAATCATCAAAATCTTTTTTCCCAGAAAATAATTCTGAGACAACAAAATCCCCCTTTTTTTTATTAAGGTCGGTTAAAAAAGTAATATTAAGTTGCGGGTACATTATAATTTTTGTTTGCCTCAAACTGATACCCGAAATCACGCATTTAAAACCACACCACTATTATTTTACATATCTAATTGTTAATTTTTGCTATGAGACAAAATCAAATGACCAATTCAATACACAAAAATATATATACATTCTCGATTCCCGAACTCGAATTTTTGAGAACTACCTTCTTTTGTATATAAAAGGAGGTATTTTTTTTATTTTTTTTTTATTGCTTAGGTGGGTTGGCGGGCTCACAGTCCACCTGGTGTTAAGTGGTTACTGGAGCCCATAGACATCTACAATGTAAATGCGCCACCCACCTTGAGATATAAGTTCTAAGATCTCAGTATAGTTACAACGGCTGCCCCGCCCTTCAAACCGAAACGCATTACTGCTTCACGGCAGAAATAGGCGGGGCGGTGGTACCTACCCGCGCGGACTCACAAGAGGTCCTACCACCAGTAAAAAACCTCCTTTTGAATATAAAAGGAGGTAGTTCTCAATTCGAGTTCGGGGTTCAAATAGGGGTCGGTTAGTAGCACTCTACCTCTTCGTCCCATCCCAGGGGTCTTACCTCTATCAACACCAATTGCCACGGATTCCGAATGAACGATATCAACGCCATTCTAATTCCGTAACAGAACAATGAAAACGTCAGCGTTGTTCCGTAGCCCCAGCGCTTAATTATTTTACCTGGAATTCAATACAATGCAATGCAATACCGTACAGTGCAATTTCATTACATTACAATGCAATGCAATGCAATACAATACATATCAATTCAATACAATGCAATGTAATAAAATTTATTAATTTACAGAAAAAAAGGGTGAACGAAAAACATCAAACTTAAAACGAAGGTGCGAAGTTGTGTGAATTGTTTTATTTTGTTAATTTAGTGTCTCTTCAGGGTCAGACGTTAAGCTTATAGACCGTTTAGCGTCTGGGCACGTGTACAAGTGGGGGGGGTGGAGCAGAGTCGCCGGATGTGGCTTCGAGGGTTTCTTCCAAAAACTCCACTGAAGTTTCAGGAAATAACCAAAAATTTACTAAGACTTTATGTCATACTATCTCATCTCCTTTCATTTCATTTCATCCCAATTGATTCAAGACTCAAATTTACCAACTCCATCTCTTATGTTTCATAATCGAAGATCTTTACACACTTGACACTGGCACCAATGACGTCGTAAGAAGACAATTGCCATACTTAAAAAAAAATAAGAACGTCAAAGTTCAGTATTGTCGTACAGTGCTTTGATCCGAATAGCGCTGATACCTCCTTAGCGATCACCGCCACCCAGCTTGAGACATATGAGGTCCTAGCCTCAGTTGTGTGACTGTTCTAGGTTTATGAGTCGCGACCTAAGAGCTCATAGTGCGCTCTACCAACAGCCATAACGAAGTCCTTCGTGAGCATAAGTCAAGTGAGTATTACATTAGAACAATTTGTACCTGTCTGCAATAATTCAGTTACGGCAGTGATTTTCTTTTCTAATTTATTTTATTACTTAGGTGGGTGGACGAGCTCACAGCCAGCCTGGTGTTAAGTGGATACTGGAGCCCATAGATATTAGACATCCACAATGTTAAAGCGCAACCCACCTTGAGATATAAGTTCTAAGATCTCAAGTATAGTTACAACGGCTGCCCCGACCTTCAAACCGAAACGCATTACTGCTTCACGGCAGAAATAGGCAGGGCGATGGTACCTACCCGTGCGGACTTACAAGAGGTCCTACCATCAGTGATTACGCACTTGACTTTTTATTTTGACAATACATTTCGTTTCTTTTACGCACGCAATGTAACGAGAAATCTGATGGCGGAGTCAATGACCTCGCGTGACGCGGGTGGGGGGGGGTCGCGTTCTGTCGACCAAACGTTTCCTGAAACTCTTACCTGAACAGAAAAAGAACAGAAGCTCCCCGACGAAGCTCTGCGCGGCTACCACCACGCCCTCGATGAGCTTTATCGTGGCAATCGAACCGGTTTCCTCGGCCAATTCTTCCAGGAACCTGCAAAGTTCGCATATAGACGCAAAGCTCCGGAAATTAATAAACTTCGCAAATAAGAGGGTAGTTATCCGAAAAACTTAGATATACATTTTATCATATTTAACACAACTTATTTACAACACAAGATATCGGACGAATGCTTGAACCGAAAAGAACTATAAAAAATAATTTTTTTGGAACGAAGTTCCTTATGGGACGATGCGGAAGGGTACCCTAACCGGGAAAAAACGTCCGTAACGTAAGATTTTATTAGTAATGCACACACTGTACGACTTAACTTTGTAATAACGTACAAAAAATAACATATTTTTTATCATTCATTGAGCACGATCTCAGAGCGTTCGTTTGCGCAATACACTAACTCGTATGCAAACAACCGTGAATGAAGTGTACCACAATAAGTTCGCACGTTACCGAATGACCGTGGGTTGTTGCGAAACCTCCAGTTTTATTTTCTTTATACCTCGAATAGAACTTAAAATTAATATTTTTATAATAAGAAACTTCGTTCCTATCCGGTGTCCCACGACACCACACATCTTGTTTTGTACACAGCAATGTAAGACGTAAGTTTTTTTTTTATTGCCCTATAGGCAGACGAGCATACGGCCCACCTGATGGTGAGTGGTTACCGTCGCTCATGGACGTCGGCAATGCCAGGGGCAGAGCCAAGCCGCTGCCTACCAAGTTCCGTGGCGGTTCTTATGGCAACACTTACCAGAACATGTAATAGATTATGAAGCTGTCGAATGTGCCCGCCAGTACGGCGAACACTATGAACACAATCACCTTCGGTATCCGCAGTACAGACCGTAATGCCGCACCGGAATCGGTGGGGCTCGATAATGAGGGTAGCTGAAAATATATTGTTTAAAATCAGCTGGGACTTTTTGGCGGGAACGCGAAGAGTGAAATCAATAAATAAAAAACATTCCACACACTACCATGTATTTGACACGCACACATATGTATACTCTATGTTTATTGCCAAACTTTTGTTGCTTATAATCTATGGTCAAATTAAGAATAGGTTAATCTGAAAAAAACCTCAGTAAAAAACCACCATTTTACTGAGATTATATTTCATCCCATATCATCTCATCTCATTTCATTAATGTCTCAAATTAATCATCTTCATTTCATTAAAATTTAATTTGACTCCATATTATCATTTTTCACACAAATAAGAATATAAATTAAACTAAGACTTGACCTAAAGGTCTCAGTTACAAGGTTATAAAATCCCTTAAAAAAAACAGGTGACATACGCTGTCAGGGATTTTGATTTTCATTGCGCCTTCATAAAGTATTTACTTCGTAAAACGACAAAAGACAACGCATACAAGTGTTCACCCAATACTCGGAAATCGATTCATTTTATATATATTACTTTTTCTATTTTGTATTTTTATTGATATTATATTTTCTTCTAAAAATAAAAAAAAGAATATTTTACAATTACAACAAAATTAACACAAAAACTCACCAATAGCTACACGGACGAAAAATGTTCCAAGTGTTTTGATCTCGCCTTTAAACATTTATAAATAGTATAATGGTAGGCAGCGGTTTAGCTCTTGGCATTGCTGAAGTCCATGGGCGATGGTAATCATTCACCATCAGGTGGGCCGTAAGCTCGTCTGCCTACAAGGGTAATTAAAAAAAATGTATATACAGATTTTACTTATTATTTTTGGCTACACCCTATATATGAACATAATATAGATATTCGCTTACCGTCAACGCTCTGCAGCTATACAGGTCGATGCCGGTCGCAATTAGGGCTATCACGAACGCCGGCGTGTAGTCCTTGTACTTGCCGTCAGATACCATATCCACCAAGCAACCTCCCAGTAGGGCCGTCACCCCATATCCGATAGTGCCCCAAGCTCGTTGGGCACCGTATTTCGACCCTCGATCTGGACCTTCAAGAGTTTATCTAATTAAATCATTGACCGCCCACGTAGACCCGATGACCGTTATTTGTAGCATCTAGCTGCTGTCACATAATATATATTCATCTATTATCATGTGTCATCTTTCGGTGGATCTAGAAAGAGACCACCATACTTTTCCCTTTCCTGCCACTCGGGAACCCCTACCACTTTTTTCCCCTACCTATTCATTGGTAGTCTAGGGGACTATTCCAGCTACGTCCACACGGGTATGTAAGCTCGCGGGCTCAACCTGAGAGAATTTGCTAACACTAGCCCTAGCAAGAGCAGTGCTTCGCTGAATCTATCACCGGATCGGAATCACGACCCACTGAAGAGATCCGGTGAGACACTCAGAGGACTAGCCTTTCACAATACCCCTATCACACTACAAGACACCAATACTGGACTTTAAGGGTAGTTAATTCTGTCCTATGCCTATTCCTGCTGTTGCAATGAAGATATAAGTGTCATGTACCTCACGCCCCAAGGAGAGAGGCGGCATTAATGTTACCACATGGACCATGGGGCTTTAAATAAAATTACATTTACTCCTGTTTTTTATTGTCTGGAGACAACGCGAGACCACACCGTAAGTCATTTTAACTATGCCCACAAGTTGCAGGAGCCGCGGAAAATATTTCGCTTATTTTTACGTCCTTATAGGTAGGTAGACGGGTCATATCATAAGAGCTACGTTGGCTCATGGACGTTAGCAACGCTGGAAATGCAGCCAAGTCACTGCCTAACGTTAACAACACTGCGCAAAAGAAAAAACATGACATAGCTCTCAGGAAACACCGTGGAGTTTAGTTCCCTAGAAATGAACCGTGGAACACTGCCATGCAAAAAAAAAGCCTCAAATTCGAATAAAACAAAAACCACTCACCAAGCACGTCGAAGCACACGGCGTCACCGATACAATTGGCCACATTAAACGCGACTGTACCCAGACTCATCAGAACCACGAACGCCCAAAACGTAAGACTCACATAGACGCTACCCCCTCCCCCCGTTTCAACAGAAGAATCACCAGAGATCTTCTCGTTAACGTCAACCAAATTCTTAGTGGAATCTGATATCTCTCTTTTGACTCGATTCAATCCCTTTTCGTAGCATAACAAATCGCAGCCATCTCTGGGCGTGCACTTAACTTGCCCATCTCGAACTTCGCTTAAGTCCATGTTCAGGGTCAGACAGGTCGAATTCGTGACGTCACTGTCCAAGTATGCTGTATCGATAAGGGTCGTGTTCCGCAGGTACACTTCGAACGTACCCGGAGTACAGTTCCAGTGGCACGTGTACTTTTCTAAGTTCAGGGACTGATCGTTTCGTCTCAAATCAACGGTTTCCAGTTTATAAACGTATTCCAGGAGGGGCGGCTCGACGGTTTCCGGGGTGGGCAGGAACCAGAGGCAACAGTACGAGCCGGTCATAACCGATATTAGCAGCATGAATACTAGCTTCCTGTGCGCCTGTAGGGTACACAGAAATAATTCTTAGCACGATACCTTTATTTTTTCTTTTATATCAATAGGGCAGTCAAATGTGTGTTGTGATGAGACGAAATGACATTGAGGACGGTGAGAGAGTTTTAAATATCGATGTGGAAGGCTTTAGAGGAAAAGGTAGACCGAAGAAAAAATTGATGGATTGCGTGAAAGACGATGTGTTAGAGGAGAGTGAGCGAAGAAATGGTATATGATAGAGGAGTATGGAACGAGAAAATATGTTTCGCCGACCCCAGGTGACTGGGAGAAGGGCAGGAGAATGATGATGATGATGATGATGATGATGATGATGATGAGGCTATATATAGTTAAACTTCCGAGAAATACTCTGGTTAGGCATCAGCTGAAAATACCCGACAAGGGGGTTCTTGACCATGGATACTGCGCAGATTCGATACGAGAGCCCCCCCACACGTAATCCCACACGTAGTATAGTGGTTGGGAATGTCGATCAGTGTACCAATGAGGCGGCCAAGATATAGGATTTTTTTTACTGGTTTAAAGTGATTTTACCGGAGTTTACCATAAAGTATGAGGCTCTAGTCTCAATTCTTTGGTCCAAGGGCCTTTGAAACTGAAACGCATGACTGAGAAATAGTCAGGTAGGTGGCATCTACCCGGCAGGCTTACAATAGGCCCTTCCACTAGTTATTGTGATTTATGGGTGCTTCTACTGAAAATGGTTTGTCGATAAGTGCAAGGAATAAAACTGTAACTCAAATTTAGCTCAAACCGAGTTACAATGTTATTCCTAACGCGTATTGCTTTGTTCTGTCTGATATACCATGCCGACGGCATTTCTAAATGTATTGTTTATTTATTGAAAATGTATCTGTGTAGTAAAATCACTGCCCGTGCTAAAACTAAGGGAAAACAACATTTAATAATTAAACGTAGGTACTTGATTTTAGTAAGTTCACATTGCACGGGTACGCAATGTAACGCCATGTCACAACAGGCCGTTGACCCAGCGCGACTGGCTTTTGACGTACATTACGTGCTATGAAAACGAATGATCGAATTGTAGTTTACCGGCCAATAATCTACAACGTAGCCGAAGAGTGGCTTCGCAGTCGCCCACAGTAGAGGCAGAATCGCCGTCACGATTCCCATCGCTGCGGGCGTGACTCCCAGTTGCCGCCCGAACACATTCATTTGCGGCAACAGCGGCCCCAGGGCTGCAAAGAAGGAAAATCTATTAGGTATGTTTGTTTGTTTTTTTTTGTTTTGTTATTGGCGGTAGGACGTCTTGTGAGTTCGCGCGGGTAGGTGCCACCACCCCGCCTATTTCTGCCGTGAAGCAGTAATGCGTTTCGGTTTGAAGAGCGGAGCAGCCGTTGTAACTATACTGAGACCTTAGAACTTATACCTCAAGGTGGGTGGCGCATTTACGTTCGTAGATGTCTGTGGGCTCCAGTAAGCACTAAACATCAGGTGGGCTGTGAATTCGTTTAACCACCTAAGCAATAAATAAAAAAAAAAGTGTCAAAAAATCCATCGCAAGCAACGTTTTTGCTGTAGCTACGTAAGCAATGGGCAGAACACCATCCAGATGGTCAGATCTAGAAAGGGAAGCACTTGGTGGTAATGTGTACCATACGTTCCGTGACACCCATGATCGAACACAGTGGAAGAACGTCACATGTGGTCGCGAACTTCCACAGCGAGGGAACGATATAGAAGAGAACGCAAGCGAGCCATAAGATATTAATTGGCTACCGTAGCCCGTGGACATCATGATGTGAATCACTTTTTCTTTTCCTACCTAAGCTGATAGCCTTGAGAAGCTATTTCAGCGTAACCTTAACTAGTAGGTGAGCTCACGGGGCTCAAACCGGAGTGATGCTAGCACTTACCCTACGGGACCTAACGCGACCCACTGAGAAGATCCGACGAGAAACTCAATGGGCTATGTCTGTGGGTTAATTTGCTCGACGAGCCCTTCGTCGCAAGCGACGGGCTCGGCGAGGACGGTGACCGGTGCTTGTGGTACCTAAAAGCACCGTTAATGGATCGGAAGGATCCGTAATGACGTGTTTTGGGCGACGTCGATTGTTTACCATTCAGTCTGCGGGATCGGGTATGAAGATGTGAAGCACACGCTATAAGACAAAAGGAAATTTCTTTAGAGATTATGGTTAAAAAGATCCTAAAACTTGTCACAGTCTGCGAAATCATTTATGGGGGTCTTAGCATTGCAATCTTATCAAATGCATGTATGTATATTACCATTGTCAATAAAGCTTCGTTACTTATCTAATTAAGAATGACGTAACGAAAATTTTTATAACAGCATATACATTAATAACATTACAAAACTAGACTAGCATGCATCTTCCTTATAACCTTTCTTTTTTATCCTGCTTACTCTAGTAACCTCGAGGGGTTATACTAGATTCACAGAATGAGTAGGTGAGCTCACGGGGCTCAAGCCTGACCACGTTGCTAACACTAACCCTAGCAGGGCAGTGCTTCGCAGAATCTACCACTGGTTCGGAAACGTGACCCACTGAGAAGATCCGGCGAGAAACTCAGTGGGTTGTGTCTGTGGGTTTATTTACATGCTGAACCCTACGACAATAACGATGACCGGTGCTTGAGGTACCTAATAGCACCGATAGTGGATCGGGAGGATCCGTAATGACGTGTTTAGGGCGACATCGTCTGTTTACCATTCGGTCCGTAGGATCGGAAAATTTCTGCTTCATATTGCAAGAATAGCCAAGTGCTATATGTCGTTCATATCTTAATATATACAAATTAAGTGTCACGTTAGGCCACGACGTAGAAGTCGTCGTGGCCTAACGGATAAGACGTCCGGTGCATTCGTGTTGAAGCGATGCACCGGTGTTCGAATCCCGCAGGCGGGTACCGATTTTTCTAATGAAATACGTACTCCACAAATGTTCACGATTGACTTCCACGGTGAAGGAATAACATCGTGTAATAAAAATGAAACCCGCAAAATTATATTTGCGTAATTACTGGTGGTAGGACCTCTTGTGAGTCCGCACGGGTAGGTACCACCGCCCCGCCTATTTCTGCCGTGAAGCAGTAATACGTTTCGGTTTGAAGGGTGGTGCAGCCGTTGTGACTATACTGAGACCTTAGAACTATATCTCAAGGTGTGTGGCGCATTTACGTTGTAGATGTCTATGGGCTCCAGTAACCACTTAACATCAGGTGGGCTGTGAGCTCGTCCACACATCTAAGCAATAAAAAAAAAAAAAAAAAAAAAAAACGTTGTTTGTCCGCGCTGGACACCTAAACTACTGAACCGCTTTTAACCTTTTTTATTTCTAAATATGTATTTTATTCCAACTTAGGCCATGGTTATTTAGATTAATGGTCGCAATATTTATTAATTAACAATAAAATAATTTCTTATGTTGATTATTGTTGTTAATTGTAAGTTTCACAAGTCTAAAACAGATGGCGTCTTAAATCAGTTTTCACAGCCAATTCTGATACTGTCTGACATTAATATCTCATAGATGGCGCTGTGTTAAATTTACCAACGTTTCATATAAGCTACAATTGAATGGCATAAACACCACATGTTGCTGAGGCTAAAGTATAAGTGAAATTTATTTCGTAGTAAACGCAATACAGTGAAATCCAATTGTTGTTACTTTGTTAATTTTGGGTATTAGCAAAGCTGGCCACGTGTTATTTAGAAACCAAAAACCTTAGCCACAGCAACGTGTGGCCGGGCCTGCTAGTTAAATTTATAAAAACAGAAACACATATACAAAACTGCCTTAAACAAATCCAGCATCAAGATAAATATATCATGTACATAGTTTACCAAAGAAATATTTGTATCTGCCTGATAAAACACTTTAGGCATTGAACGATCCAAAGATAAGTTTGTATGTTACGTTGTAGATAAGTGAAGCGCACACGGAAGTCAGAGAAACACCAAGATTCGCATACGTATATATTTATTTTATTGTATTTTCCGTGAATCGAAGACTTTTTTTTTTAAATGAGTTTATGACCTGGTAACTATTGACCTTTAGGTCATGTCTTATTTTAATTTATATTCTTATTTTATGACTAGCGGCCCGCTCCGGCTCCGCTCGGGTCTTTAACAAAAATTTCAACGATATTTGCCATTGCTTTATTTTTTAAAACAAGCGGCCCGCTCCGTCCCCGCTCGGGTCTTTAACAAAAATTTCAACGATATTTGACGTTGTTTTATTTTTTTAAATAAAAGAACTCTTATTGCGGCATAACTATAATAGTTAGACATAAGCTGTTGCGACACTTTTTGTTAATAATAATGTCTTCTAAAAAGTCGTAGTACATTATTTTATTCTATCATCAATAGTTTTCGCAGGGCACGCGATGTAAATAATATTTTAGGTAATTTTTTTACACCTTGGGTTACATTATTGGAGTTTCAGTAAGGAACCCTATTTTTTTCAAAAATGATTATAGCCTATGTCACTCGGGAATAGTGTAGCTTCCAAACAGTGAAAGAATTTTTCAAATCGGTTCAGTAGTTTCGGAGCCTATTCAATACGAACAAACAAACAAATCTTTCCTCTTTATAATATTAGTATTGAAAAATTATAATATGGAGTGAAATGAAATGAAATGAAGATGATTAATTTGAGATATTAATCAACTGGGATGAAATCAAATGAAATAAGATGAGATGATATGAGATGAAATGTAATCTCAGTAAAATGGTGGTCATTTACTGAGATTTTTTCAGGGGACTTTTTGGGGGATCCCAGAAGCTACGTCCAGCGGCTTTGTTTCATTTTCCCACATTTGTGCACTTTCACAGATTCTAAACAGTTAATAAACCACCGTTATTACCCATTGAAACCTGAAGAAACACTAAATAGACAAAATAAAACAAATCACCCAACTTCACTGCTCGCGTTCCCGCCAAAAAGTCCCGAAGACATAATTCAAAATAACGTTTACAGATTACTGTTAAGAGCGTTCTGAGTAAATTTATTTATAGAACTAGCGACCCGCCCTCGCTTCGCTTCGGAAACATTAAAAGACACATGAAACAAAAAAAAAAAAAATTTTTTTTTTTTTAAAAGTAGCCTATGTTCATCAGGGACAATGTCGGCTTCTAATGGAAAAAGAATTTTTCAAATCGGTCCAGTAGTTTCGGAGCCTATTCGAAACAAACAAACAATCAAATCTTTCCTCTTTATAATATTAGTTTAAGTTTATAGAATAAATTGACGGTAGTTAGAAAAATATTCACAATTATTTGACACAATTTGACTGACTCGGTGGAGCAGTGGTTAGCGGTCCTGACTTTTGCGCCGAGGGTTGTGGGTTCGATTCCCACATAGGGCCATAGATTCGTGTGATGAACAAGTCATTTTTTTTTATTGCTCACGTGGGTGCTTCGATCTCACGGCCCACCTGGTATTAAGAGCCACCACTCCGGAGCCCATAGACATCTACAACGTAAATTCGCCACCCACTTTGAGATATGAGTCTAATAGACGTCTACAACGTAAATGCCGCCTTGAGTATGAGTTCTAAGGTCTCAGAATAGTTACAACGGTTGCCCCACCCTTCAAACCGATACGCATTACTGCTTCACGACAGAAATAGCCAGGGTGGTGATACCTACCCGCGCGGACTTACAAGAGGTCCTACCACCAGTAATTACGCAAATTATAATTTTGCGGGTTTGATTTTTATTACACGATGTTATTCCTTCACCGTGGAAGTCAATCGTGAACATTTGTTGAGTACGTATTTCATTAGAAAAATTGGTACCCGCCTGCGGGATTCGAACACCGTTGCATCCCTAGATACGATTGCACCGGACGTCTTATCCTTTAGGCCACGACGACTGTAGTATGCAGTTGGAACAGTGCCCCTAGCGGGATTTGAACACCGTCGCGTCGCATTGCTACATACAAATACACCGGACATCTTATCCTTTAGGCCACGACGAATTCGTTGTTATTATCTGTATGAATGTTATCTGTTATTGCATGCATTGACAAGTCAAACATCACGATACCCTAATTGGATTTTATTGTGTGCACTCTGAGATAGCGACAATTAGATAATATGTAAACGAAGACTGGTCTGGTTTTGTATGCGTGATTTCTGAGAGAAATTTGAGGCAAACAAAACCATAATGTACTGTAGTATATTATTATTTTTACCCGACTTCAACGAACGG